TGACGTCATAAAGGAAGCTATAGGCATGTTGATCTCGTTCGTGTAAGCATGTATCGTCCTGGATACATAAAACGGGAAGAGAGTTGTTTGTATATGTTAATTGTGCTCATTGACGTCTCAAAGATCGGAATTTTGGTCACGTTCGCGTTCGCTCGTATGCACGAATCCCGGATTTGTGACGTCATTGTGGAACTGCTGTTTTTGTGTTTCTTTTTCTTTTCTTACTTTTTTATTTGTGTATTTATTCATTACACTTCTTCCTTTATTAATCGGTCTTATGAACCCCAATTCCGCCCGGATATTTATTTTTGTTTTCTTTTCTTTTCTCTTATTAAATCAATTTGCGCTCATTCGTGACGCCTTGATAAAAATGATGTTCTCATTTTTATCTTCTGATTCTTTTTTTTTCTTTTTTTTTTCTTTTTTGTTCATGTTCAGTCGCACAATCCAATCCCGGATTTATGACGTCATTGTGTAAGCGATGTTGTTTTGTTGTTGTTATTAATTATATTTCTTTTCTTCGTTTATCTTCTCAATCCCGAACCCCTGGCGATGTGGTGTTTATCTTCTTGCTTTTCTCAAGTTATTATCCCTTTTCCTTCCTTTTTCTACTTCCTCCTATCCCAATTTCTCTCTTCTTCTTCTTCTTCGTCTTTACTTCTCAGCGTGTTCTTCTTTTTCATTTAATTGTTGTTCTTTTTATTATTCTTCATTTACTTCTTCTTCTTCTTCTTCTTCTTTCATTGCCTTCTTTTCATTTAAATTCTCCTCCTCCTACTTTTGCTTTTCCACTCCCTTTCGCTTTCAGTCACACGCACTAATCCCGGATCTATGACGTCACAGTAGAAGTGATGTTCTCTTTTTTTCGTTTCCGTTTTCTTTTTCGGCATTTTTCTTTCCCTTTTGGTTTCGCTCGCATGCACACGACCCACAGATCTATGATGGCGTCATGGTATAACCCGCATGGTAGCCTGCAGAAGCCTGTGGATTTACCTGGCTGGATAATGCAGCCTTTGACCCACTGGCAAGGAGAGTGCTTTGCAACGGTGCAATTTCTGCAACGGGGGTTCGTGTGTGTGTTTTGATAGCTGGATTATTTTTTTGTTTGTTTGTTTGTATCTCTATTGAACCGATATCTGCCAAGTATCTTTATTGTTGATTTTTTTCCAGTTTTATTGTTGTTATTATCGTCGTCATTCTTCTACCGAGCAATATAGTTGTTGTTAGTGTTATCGTTATTATAATTACTTCTGTAAATGCCGTTATTAGTGCCACCGGATATCTTGATCAGCATTATTGTTTTATCATTATTGTTGATCTTACTATTGATTATATTATTCATTACTGCAGTAATAATCATCTCCGTGGTTGTTGATATTATTTTTGTTGTTTTTATTTCATTTTATGCTTAGCATTGTTATTGCTATTATTATTATCATTATTAATATATTTTTTTATATAATTGTTATCATTGTTGTAATAATTGTTGTTATTATTGTTATCATTACTATTGGTATTATCAATATTATCACTCTGATAATGATATTAATTATTTCTATTACCATTATTATTAGTAGTAGTAGTATCAGTATCAGTACTAGTAGTAGTATTATTGATATGATCATCAGTATCGTTATCACTACTACTATTATTATTATCCATCATATTTACTATTTTTACTATCATTTGTTCATCAATATCATTGCAATATCATTACCACAAATACGTGAAAAGGTCATTGACAGCTGAGTACTATGACTGAATATTGCATTTGCCAAAGAAAGACTTCGCATGCGACATGCAAGCTACTAAAAAAAAGTTTTCATAATTATTATTCTTTCACTTTTTTATTATTATTATCACTTGTTTTGTTGTTGGTGTCATTATTATTATTATCATTATTATCTTTATTATCATTATTATTATTATTATTATTCATAAAAAAAATATATATTTGTTTGAATACAACTGTAGAAATTGAAACGCATCTCGTTCCTTTTTGCATTGTCTATCTCTCTCTCTCTCTCTCTCTCTCTCTCTCTCTCTCTCTCTCTCTCTCTCTCTCTCTCTCCCCTCCCTCCCTCCCTATCTCCCTCTCTCTCTCCCTCCCTCCCTCCCTATCCCCCTCTCCTCCCTCCCTCCCTCCCTCCCTCCCGAAACCGCACCGAGAGGGAGTGAGTCACAGCCACGACTCCCGCCGCACGAGACAGGTGCCAGCTGGGAGAGATAACCATCTTTCATTCCCCGTCCGAGAGGTGCCAGCGATCGCCGCGATAGTGATAAGGTCAGGACGCAGCCAGGCCGGGTCAGTGCTGGAACGGAAGCGGCGGGGAAGGGTTGTGTCAGTGAGCGGGAAATTCCGTTTGGGATTTTCTTGATAGTTGTTTGTGTTTGGTTGTTTGTTCGTGTCTTTTTTTGTGGTGAAGGGAGTGAGGGATTGATTGATTGGGGACTTTCTTGAAAATTGAAAGTCAGTGTTTGTGTGAAGTTTGTTGGAAAT